TGCACTAATTCTGATATCCATTTTAAATAAAAGCTAATTGCATAAAAGTCTTTTTTTAATTAATGTTATTTTATTTTCTGTCTCCTAGTCTCAATTACACGTTATCAATGATGAAATTTTTAGTCATTATTAAACACAAAGAATAATTTTTAAGAAAATTATGAAACAGACAAAAATTACTGAATGTCATTCAAGAATGAAGAAACCGCTTTTAATATTCACTTTTAGATATTGGATACAACGAGCATTTTACTTAAAGCTTTAAAAAAATAATTCGTCATTACGTGCGCCAGGATTGCAAACATCATCAAGGGCGCTGAGATGGCGAACAGAAGTCAAAAGCAGTTTTTCCCAGAGAAACGCTTTTTCCCCCTTCCGTCTGCTTCGGACTGCCACATATTAAAAAAAATCTGATGTGTAAACCACAGGACTTGTACAGAATTATGCGCATTTTTTCTTGCATTTCATTTAAACTGAATGGATTCAATTAAATTTACTTCGTCGATAGCGCATAAATCACAATTAAATAAATGCACTCTTTAAAATTCACTATATTTGGACCTAGGTTCACTTAACAGCGTTACATGTCATTCATTTTTTTAGCTCAGACTGTACAAAATTTATATCATCTTAAGAATTATTTAAAATTGTTGCGACATGTTCTATTCAAATACTATAAATCTAAAACGATGTATAAAAGAAATTAAGCAAACAAAGGGGGGAAAAAAGAAAAGAAACAGTTTTTCACAGCCAATTCAGTATTTCTCATTCAATTAATTCAGTTTGCTCAGTTTTCACTTCGCGACAAAGCAAAATATGTGTATTGAAAATTATGAAGTAAATCTTAAAGACTTATTTCCTCGAATAAATTCCAGAATGGGTTAATCATGGTTTAATTCGCAATAATATAAGAAGGCGTTACTTTCTCTAAGGCGAAGCTTACTTTCTCTAGATTGGCAGAAAATCTACTGGTATTCTGCTGTTTCAAATGTAAACAAACATGGCCGTCATGGCAAAAATAATTAGGCTTAGTGGCCCTTAAACAACTTTTAAATTGTGATAATTCTAAAAATATTGTATGCAGATTTATTAAAGGCATAAAAACATTAAGCGGAAGATAAGAACAACAAATTCAATCATTTTTAAAACACAAAAATGCACAATTTACAAACATATAAGAATAAAGAAACTGAGATTACCGAGCCGAGTAACAGAGTGGATATATATACATATATTTATATACTTTTGGTGCGGCCGATTGCAACCAAAATACGAGGTGCACATCTACATGCTATAGCAATTCTATATACAAAATTTCAACGCTCCGGGGCTATTCATTACTGAGTTATGCGAGATTCACACATACGTATGCACGTACGTACAGACGCCACGAAAAAATCTCTCTTGAATCCATTTTAAATGAGTTTTATAATTCGTTTGGATGAAAAGAGTACTTTATTCTCTCCTTACGTATAGATGTCACGCAAAAACATCGTTAAATTACATTCGATAGCGATCAAAATCGATATTTTCGGTGAAATATGATGCTTGAAATTTTTCGCGATTACTATACTTCCTTTTTACTTCGTACAAGGAAGTAGAAAATCGCTAAATTAATATTTTATTTATCATTCTTGCATTAAAAGAGGGCGAAAAGTTTCTTTTATAATATGTGAAAATTAAAAAAATTTATATACGATACATTTTTAGATGATGGAATTTTAAAATCAAAAACTCAAATGTTCTAAAATACTTAAGCGATTTTCTGAAATTCGCAAAAAATTCAGAAATTGAGTTCATATGAATTGCATAGAAAATATTCATACAAAAATACTTCCTATATTTGTTTCACTGAAAAGATTTTTTTTCACTCTTTATGATGGTGCAAACAGAAAAACTCTGATGTGCTTAGTTTATTTATTAAACGAAGAATGTGCAAAAGATCTTTTAAACCTTAAATACAAAAGAATATAAATCGGATTTTGAAATGTCGCTTTACCACATTGAATTGCCTTTGAAACACAATTGTGTGTACAAAATTTTAACTCGATAGCTTATCTGAAAGTGGGTTAAAAATCGATGACAAAATTCCACCTATAGCGAAATAGCATAAGTGAACTAAATAAAAGCTTATAATAATAATTTAGTTTTCATAAATTCAGCCGAACACCTGTTTCGTTTATTGGCCGATTAAATAATTAAAATATTCATGCACTTATACTTTGCATTTATAATACACGCATTTATAATAAACAAAATCATGTGCTACTTGATGTTTGGGATTAACAAATTTGTTGTTTTTTGGAAATGACAGACTTAAAATTGAATATTTGCCAAATTCAGAATCTTCATTAAAGTATTCTAAAAAGTGTAGAAGAAAGAAATAATTTAGTTGTCAATAATCTTTGATATTCTGCATTATCTAATTTTTTTTAAAACTGTTGACGATCGTGAAAATCAAAAACATTCTTCATCATATCGAGATTTAAGCTTAGGTTTTTAAGCTGGCCAAAACATTTAAAATATCTAGACCAAAATTTTTTCTTCTCTAGTAGTTCAATGGCTAACTTAAATATTGACATTAAATGTCGGAAGAACAATAAATCTATTTTAATATTCGTTGTGATTTCGATAGATTTATCTTCAATTAGCAGTTAGAATAATTCTTTAGAGCAATCAATTGGTCTGTTTACGAAATGAAAATTCAACTTTTAATTTCGATAAGATAAAGGACATTTGCCTTTTTGTTTCTAAACTGAAGAAAGGGCCAGAACAGGAAAGCTGATTAAAAGACCAGAGTGACATGATATTCTGTCTGAAGCTGAAGACAAGAGTTTCTATGGGATGCTGTTCATCGGAATTTGGAATCGTATGCTAGACATGCAGCTAGACGTTCTTGAGCGAAATAGATAAAGAAGGAGATAAGAATACTCTAATGTTCTAATAAGGATTACCTGAGCTGCTACGATCTTCAGCTTTTGTTTATAATTTAGAAACGCAGTTCTACAATCAACTCTGGATTTACTAGAATAATACTGGCTGTGACGTTCACGGATAACTCAAAATCATACATATAAAAAAATACAACATATAAAAAAGAAGAATAACCTATATAATATATTATGGAAAAATATTTTTAATAATTTGTCTTCTTTCGAGCCTTTAATCGTAAGAATGATTTCTTTCGGTTGCTTCAATAGGTATTCAGAGATAAGGGAAAGCGCTATAAGAACAAAATAAGCAATATTTTACATAAATAATCTAAGATATATATGGCATTAAATAATTCTGTTTACCAGAGAACGTGAACAATGTTAAGTTCAAACTCGCTTAAAAAAGTAAAAGTCGGTTAAAGGTCTTTTTTTTTTTTTTTTTTTTAACATATTCTACATCAGCGGTCGTCAACCCTTAGAACTTCGTGGACCACTACATACATAATTTTATATTTGGCGGAATTCTAATGCGAATTAAAAAAAAGTAAATACATTTATACAATAATAATTAGCAAACTTTTATTTTATTAATGTGAAAGGCACCCATTAAAAGTAACAAGGTTATAGAGTAATTATTTTTAAAACACGAATTTAAGTATTACATGTTTTTGGTGTGATATTTGTTCCTGTTTTTTTTTTAAATCAGTTTGGAGATTTTAGGTTTTGGACGGAAAATAAACTTACACGTAAATTTATATCATGTATAAATAATACCAACAGTATCCATATCATGATCATTGAAATTTACAAGACTGAATAACTGATTTTGCTAATATCAGCATTAAATAAATGTACGACTGCTTGAATTTTATCAATAATTAATTTAACACATTTGGTGATTGATTATACTTGCAAATATATCACACTGCGATCTATATAAAGGAAGCAAAAGAATTATGATGTAACCTGTCTACAAACCTTACCTGAAAAATATACATTTCACACCTTTATTGATTAAATGCATTAAATTATTTTCATATTATGCAATGTTTAACAACATATTAATACGCAAAAACAATAATCAACTTTCCAAGACACGTAATTCTAATTTTCATTTGTTAATATAATTTTCGAAACATTTGGTGTTCAGCAGAATGCCTTTATGGAAACTCAGACTACGCCCCTGATTATGAATAACAATTAAAACATCTCACTAATACACATATTTCGTTCACATTGAAAAATTATATGAAAAGAAGTACAAAAATCTTATCTTCTTGACAGAGAGCTTAACATTTCCGCGTCACTGAAAAGGAACTTTACGAAAAGCAAGAGCACCGGCAAACGCAAAGCAATATCAATAAAGTGAAAGTGTCATGTCTCCAATTTTTAATTATTGTAAACATAATAATCATCGCTTACTGAGCAATGGACGCTATCGATCAATAGTTAGACAAAACAAAAACAGAAACTTCCCGTGATGCGATTATAAACATAAAAGCAGATGGTTCTCATAAAACTCCATCAAGTTGCGAAGAAAAACTGTGTTATTAACGATTACAAAGCATATATTTGTAATTCAAAAGGAAAGAGAATTCCAATTCGTGCTATTATTAATAACAGCAGCATAGCCATAGATACCAACTCTCACTTTCAAATGTCGCTAGATACACCTGCAAAAGTAGCTAAAAAATTGCTAAATTCAGAAGGAATTTCGCTAAAAGTAGTAGCTAAGGTTAAAAAAAAAGTATAATCCATATTCCATAATAAGTTTTGTTACTCTTCATTTTTAAACAATATAAATAATGATAAAAATCATAAAAATATAAATAATGTCCCAATTTTTTTGCATACCAACAAAACGTTTTCACGGACCACCGGTTGGCGACCGCTGTTGTAGATTATTTACAATTAAATAAAGTAGTGTTGCGAATAAAACTCAAATACCATGACGTCTAATTCCACGCAATTTGCTTCCTGTATTTTTCCGCAGACAGTTTGTTTTATCGTATTAATTTATGATAATAAATTTTTCGTCGCTCCTAAATAAACAAATATAGCTTTTTATTCTGACTCCAAAAGTCGGCTTATAGTCCAATTCGTTATTTGGTTTAAATGACGTACTTTTGAGATGATTGAAAAGTATTCTTAATGGTTGCTGCGACGACCCAGAGGAGAGAATTCGCAGAGGTGGACGTAAGTTGTGTAAGTTTTCTATCCTTTAATCGCCCTCAAGCTGGTCGAAGGTCGTACGATAGAATTCATTCGCATAGTTTCGAAGTAACAGCTTACACATTGGAGTGCGAAAGAGCTGCAGACGATGGAAAAGCAATCGGAAAATGTATTTACCTGGATTATTACATCGTTTAGTATGTGCCACCAGCCAAACAAACAATTTCTACGGAGCCCAGAGTTTACTTCTAATTATTTACCCGATATGAACTGGCAAATTTTGTTACTTCCGAGAGGGAATAGTGATGAAAACTACATAGCTGTGTACCTCAGAAGAACTGATGGTATTCCAGAATTGTGTAATATAAATTACACAATGCAAGGACTGGATGTGAATGGAAAGTCAGTTTTTTATTCTAACGTTTGTACTAGAGAATTTGAAGGTGAATCTACTTGGGGATGTCCAATGATGTGCAAAAGGGATTCTCTTTTTATGTCACTCAAAAATGATATTCTAATTATAGAATTGACTTTGAGTCCTAGTGATCAAGAATTACTGCCTACTCTTTCTTACAAAAATGGACTGTTTGCAGATGTCGTGTTGCGCGCAAATGGTGCAGAATTCAAAGTACATAAAGCTGTTTTGTTGGCGAGATGGCCCAAACTTGTAGAAAAACTAGACACAGAAGGGACTTGTGAACAAGTTTTCGATATGGGATCGAACGTACTGGAGGCAATACTGAAATATGTTTACACCGGGAAACTAGACTGTAATGAATCTGATTCGTTAGCCGAACTGTATACTGCTTGTGAAAAATGCGAACTCCCCATTTTGCAAATTTGTTTACCTGTTGTGACACAAAAAGCACGAACTTCTATTAATGTACAGAAAATATCATTTGAGTGGCCAATAAAGAATTTCTCAAGCCTGCCACTTAATACAGTGTTACACTGCCATTCATTCAATGTCGATATTTTGAAGTCTTGTAAGTGGAATTTAAGTCTTCACATATATGAAGATGAAATGTACGGTTGCAGAGCCTTTGATATTTTCTTATGCAAGATGAATGATCCTGAAAGTAATCCGATTTTCGTGAGAAGCAATATATTCAATGGTTTTAGTTCTTTTGAAAATGAGCACTTGTTCGGAATAGAGAAAAACTGGAAGTGTGGGAACTTTTCACGGGTTGCTGTGGATCCTGACGGCGTATTGAGACTTAAGTTCGAATTTAGGTTTTCTGATTGCAGCAGTGTTTCTGAAATAAGGGAATCTTCTTATGCCTACGTACCATCTATTAATTGCCATTCCATAAACAATGACTTCAGAAATCTTTACAATTCTGGTATGTTATCGGATATCAATATTATCGTCGGTTCCGAAACATTCCCCGCGCATAAATTTGTTTTATGCGCCCGATCTCCGGTATTTTCCAGAATGTTCCAAACTGACATGATCGAATTGGACAAAAATGACGTTAAAATTTCAGATATTGAACCTCAGATAATGGATAAATTACTTCTGTTCATGTACACAGGCAGTTTTGAAACATCTTTGGGTGAAGCAGCTGAACAGCTGTACGTGGTAGCTGATAAATATGATGTTCCTGCATTGAAGAAAAGGTGCTCATCTTTTCTGAAATCGAATCTGAATGCTAAAAATGTGTGCAGAATATTAGAGTTAGCCAATATGCATTCCGATGATGATTTGTACAAGAGTGTGTTTAGATATTCATTTGAGCATGCAGAGGAAATTTTCTCTACTGATGAATGGGAAGCTATCGCAAAAGGTAACTTATACGTGAAATTTCTGCAGGAAATGTTTCTCGAGGAGAGACTCACAAAGTGATTTATAGAACTAGATTTCTGTATTAAACTGCGTATCTTGATCTTATGTATAAAATTTTTTATATGTCCTGTGGTAAGTACGAGTAAAAAGTTACTAAATATTTTGTAGTTTATCCTTATGCTTGTTTGTTCTTTGGTGAATGATAAGAAACATGGTGAAAATGTAGTGATTTGTCTTTATGATAACTATGAATTACGCTTTTCTTTATAATAAAAATTGAGATTTTTAACGAAACCGTGTTTCCTATTCTATTTTGTATTTTATAATCAAATTTAAAACATTTTGTTGCTGCGCTTTAATGTAGAATTTTGATAGCTTATTAAAGGTCTATTTTTTTTTCTTAATTTATAGGTGAATATTCATTCCTCATATAAATTATAATTTTCATTCACTGCATTATTTCTGTAATGTAATTGTCTGTTCCAATATAGTAGCTTGCAGCGTTAATTCAATGCAGTTACTAAGCATCAGTACTGTTTTTATAAGTCCGTGTGTAACTCTTTCTGTTCTGGTGTGCTTAGTCATGTTTTAAACAGTTACACGCAACTTATCTGCCTGAATGCTTGGAATCAGTCAACTGCTCTGATTTCAGAACTCACGTTAATAAGTTTCTTTATGTTGACGAGTTCGAAAATTGTACTTAAAATTTTAATTTCAAAATTTGTTACATTCATTATTGATTTTGTTTTCACTATAATGCCTCATTTCTTGTGTGTGGTTATGAAGGTGACTCCTGTTAGTACTTTCGTACCTGATCTAAAAGTTTATGAATTTTTAGTGTTTTACTTTATTTACCAGCATATGTAACGCTTTCTTCTTTTATTTTTCTCTTAATAACAAAAAATACAACACTTATAACATTAAAGAGTAGGCTTTTGGGTTTATAACAGATCTCGAGTACGATAAGAATAGAATTAACAAGCCAAAACAGTGTTAATTGCACTATAAAATTCCTTAATTAAGGCATATTATACATATATTTATATTCTTAACTCTACCTTAACAGAAGTAATAAATGTAAATTTAAGTTTGGATGAATGTCGCCTTCATTTTCTAATTTCATCGGTAAGTAATAAAAAGGAAATAGTAACGAAATATCTAATGAAGTCTTAACATGTTTCAACAGTCAACGACTGGAAAAGCAAATTTAGAAGCCAGTGTTTATTTTAACCCCATAAATGCGTATTATGGCGAATGTAGAATCCATGGAATTTTAGCCACAAAAGTGCATATTCGAGGACGAGAGAGTTTAGATGAGAGTTAAGATTCTAGAAAGAGAGATTAAGGCATTTTTAAGTGAAATACTGATCCATGTATGTGGAAATTGTAACCAATGAAACTTCGGAATGAATAAATTTCTGTGGTCTTTTATTAAGATGTTTAGAAATGGCAACTTCTAAAATATGCTAATCAGTTTGTTTTACATTTTAGTGGTATTTGGTTTTAATTTTCTAACTTTTATTGAAGTAAAATAGCTGTTAAAGAGTATATCATCTATTGAAGACTGTAGAAGAAGGTCCAAAATTCAACGTTTAAGAATAAAAAGGAAACTGTGTTATGTCTCCGTTATTCATCAACATCTACCAAAAGAATATTTTTAGCTCTGACAGTGAATAAGAATAAAAGTAGAAATATAAATTGCAAACTGTTCTGATAAAGGAAAAATGGCGAATATAGAATACATGGAATTTTAGCCATGTATTATGGCGAATGTAGAATACATGGAATAAAGCATTGATCATCGAAGATTTTACTTTTTGGCAATTGCTAGTTAATTTAGCAGATCAACTAAGAATATTAAGAAATACGTTCAGTGTTTTCTTTGTATGTAAGAATGTGTATACTTATTTTTTCCTTGTGTGTAAGAATATGTAGTAGAATTAAGTAAATGAAACAACTATACGTAAATTACATTATGAATAACTGAAACTTCTATATGTAAATTAAGAATTAAATTCCTAAAATCATCAGATTCATAAACTGTATAGAGGTACGTTTTGACATTTATCTTTCTATATGTGTTGTATGAATGTTAATTTAGCAGTTTTAAGTTGAATTTGTCAGTGATAGTATAGTAATACCGTAAAATGGCTTAGAAAGAAAATAAACCTAAAGCAAAGAAAAAAATTTGTACATTTTTATTCGTTTAATTTACGTTAATTTATTTATTTATTCCTCAGCAGATCTAGTATTTTTTTTTTTTTTTTTTTTTTTTTTGCATGAGCTACTATGAAAAGAGTTTTGCATCCTGCCTTGAGGTGCACGAAATTTGTAAGTGTTAACAAACATGTTGTGTGATGCAGTAATACAAAGGCAGAAAAACATAGCTACCTTTTTGAGTACAAAGATCCAAATTTTAAATCATCTTAGAACTGAAGAAGAGCAAAGATCCATAATTTGATATTTTGGTTTGAACAAATTTATCTTGACTCATCAAGAAAAATTAATTTAAAAGAATCTGAGACTTTCGGAAAAAAAAAATTTACCTCTAGAATATCATCTTACACGAGACAGAATTATTATTTAGAGCTTGTAAATTTACCCGCCTTTTCAATTAACAGTAAATCGGCAAAATTTCCAGTTAAATCGGGTTTATCATAAATTTACCGGTGTTTAATTTTTTTGAAAAGCGTATAGAAAATTATTTATTTATTTATTTATTTATGGTTCTTTTGTGTTTATCAGGACCGGATTAAGAAATGTATGTATGTATTATGTGCATTATGAGCATGTGTATACACACACAAATATATGTAAGTACGTATCTCAGGTTTCAATACAACACTTCAAAAGAGAATTTACCATAAAAAAATTTTAAAAAATTTAAAAAAATGGGAATTTTGAAACGTAAAATGTCATAAAAATACAAAATAATTAAAAAAATATTTCTATACCAGTTGCTGAAAATACAACGTCATTTATTAATTAAATAAATCTTCGAATGTGGATAAAAATTATCAGTTGGGTATATTATAAATTAGATAAATTTTAATTTTTACCGATTAGATGTCCTTCTGGAATAAATAAAATGAAGTTATAAACCATTAAGAAGTGTCTTTACTGCTTTTATTTTGCTTTATTTCATTGTGGAAACGCAAGCGAGGGTTGCCTGCCTAAAAGGGGATGCCTTTGTGAAGGGCTTTCTAAAGGATATTGGATCGCATCCACGTTGTACATGGATAACCAAATGCTCAGGCAGACATAATCTAGAGTCAAATTCAGATTGAATTATCACTGCTTAGCGACTTTACCAGAGCTGCCGGGGAGGGGGGTTCGTTTATTGCTTTTAAGTCTTTTAAGTTGCTAATAAGAAGTAGACTGATTCAGTTTGGAGGATCGCATAGGGTGCATAGGGTCAAAAATACCGTAAATAACCGTTAATCTAGGGCGAATTAGCCAAACTGCAGATAAACCTTTATTCAAGTTAACTGATTAAGTTTGCCTGTTGCGGAGCAACAGAAAAACTAGCATCACAAACTACTAGTGTAAAGCAAAACTGTCTAGAAAAAATGCATGAAAAGAAAAGAAGAAATGGCTACAAAAGAGTTCAAACCGACTTTATTTTACGCAAGTGTGACTCATTTCCATTATTCAAGTTCTTTCGTAAATTATTCTTTACAGTTATTTATAACTTAATTTCTTTTTTTATAATGATGTTTATCCTTCCGTTTATTTACACTATATTATTTTTGTTTTCGCATATTAATTTCATTTACGTCACAAAAGAAGTCTATTCTCCTCATTACATTTCTTGAAAATGAGAAATAATTGTTACTAGTATTTTTCTGTTAGGTATAATATTTGTTATTCCTCTTTCCTGTGTTTTTCAACTTCGCCCGTGATTTTGATGACGTCTGTTAATCGACACTGGATTGTATTATATTTAAAAAAGAAGTTTGCAGTATTTTTAGGATAGGGAGGTGTATATAACCTGCAATAATAAAATGGGTCTCTTGTTTAAAACATACAATTACTTGAAACTCCCCGAGAAAGAAGCAAAACTTTGCAGCACACGCATAATGCACACACAATCGGACATCCTTGACCTGGTTCTTGAGACATCAACCACTGGAAGTTTTGACCTCTACTTGGTGTTGTGCCCTCTGGCCGTTGGCTGGAAATAGAAAAAAAGCGCTTATGCGCAACTTAGATTAGTATCTAAGTAAACAAACGTGAAGTAACTCGCCTTTCGACCTATTTCTGTACCTGTAATGTTTAATCAGTTGGATTAGAAACTTGGATAACTTTCAGTTTTTGTGAAACCAAAACGTTTTCTCCCGACCTTGTTTCCGGGTGTGCTGCTGAACGTTCGTTGCTAATTGAAGAGAGGGACATCTTTATCGTGCTTCAATTCGGGCATTGTGAAAATTGAGTTATCAGCTGCTCTCGAAAAATTCTCAACCATGTCTCAAACATTACTGTAATATCCAAGAGTATGAAAAATTCTGTTATCATAGGTTTTTCGTATATAAACACATCTCTTAATTTCAATCCTACCTACAGAAAATAAAATACCCCCCCCACACAAAATAAAATATGGTTTTTTAGAAAATTAAAAACATGTGGCAAATATTTTTTATGTTGTCTTTGATTCTCGCGCTGATTTTCGCGTCTTTATATAAGCAGGAGAAGCATCTTTGTTTTGAAGAAATGTAACAGTATCCTTCTTTTTGTTTGATTCATCGCATGTGTTTATTCTGATTAAAGGGATTTAAGATTGATTAAATCTTGTCTATAACGCGCCTCAAGTCTCTTTAGCCCCGTTTCCGTTTGGAGTGATGTAAATTATTTGAGTATGCAAAGCCATGGGGGATTAACTAATGCAGAGAAGTGATGTCTTCATGGAGGACTTTCTGAGGAAAACTGGCTCGTATTCATGTTGATCAAAATCAGGTCCAGCTACCCTTAGCAGGAGTCTTAACAACGCGGCCACTCGTCAGACCGTTTGGGAAAGTGTGGTGTACTCGAGTGGACTGGACCGTGACCAAATGGAAAC